CAGTTTTCCCATGTGTGTGTTTAATTAATTTATGAAAATATTCTGAAATAAAGAAAAAGAAAAGCTGAATTAAGTTTAGAAAAATACTTTCTTTATTTGTTAAATTTCCTATTGATCTTTTGCAAATATCTTAAAAATTTTAATAACATCCAAAATAGCAACAAATAAATACGCAAAAAATGAACATATATTCTATTTAAAAAATTTTGTTGATCATGTGTTGTTGTTTATACTGAAACAAAAATATACATACATACGTTCTTTTGTGATATAAGGGGATTAAAATTGAAATTTTATAGAAAATTGTTATGGAACATAGATATTTCAACGCCTCAAAACCATCAATATAAAATGCTATAAAAATAAACACAAAAACTATTCACTCAAATAGCGGAAAACCATTAATATTTTATTTTTTTTCCGGTGATCTGTGGAATCTCAATTGAAAAATAAACAAATTGTTTATATAGTATTTAAATAAAATTTATTACAAAATTTACTTCTTAAGAAAGAAAACAAGTGAATGACCATTAGTGTCTAAGAAAATTTATTTCGTTTTAAAATTTTGAATTTATAAATAAGTAAAACTAAAGACCAATAGATTTTTTTCAAAAGTAATTAATCATAAAATCTATTAATTTAAATGACAAATAAAAAAAATTTAATTTTAATATTTTGCAAAATTTATAAATCTTTAGTTAAATAATAAAACTTAAATCTAAACAAAGTTTATTTTTCAAGGTTTTGACAGCTTGAGAAGAAGAAAAAAAGTTCATAAAAAAATATGAATAAAGTTGTCTTTGTTGTCTCATGGTTGTTAAATATTTTCAATGTTTGTGTGTTTTTATGGATGTTTTTGCATTCAATCCATTCATGTCTATTTAACCATAAATATTCATACACGACTTTCTCATATACACACCATATACTACAGCGACATGTGGTTATTTATATGTTGGGTTCCGTCTGTCTGTCTGCCTTCTTTGATTCTATTTGTCAGCTAGTCTGGTGTTTAAGCTTGTCTTTTTTATTTATTCTTTGTTGTTGCTTTCATGAATATTAAAAAAGTGTTTAATATTTTGGTTCTTCATGGAGTTATTTGCTAAAGGGTGAAAAGGAGTAGAATTCATGTGATATTGAAAATACCTTAATATAGATATGCACCGATATTGGGATATCCTATCTATCTATCTATCTATCTATCTATCTATCTATCTATCTATCTATCTATCTATCTATCTATCTATCTATCTATCTATCTATCTATCTATCTATCTATCTATCTATCTATCTATCTATCTATCTATCTATCTATCTATCTATCTATCTATCTATCTATCTATCTATCTATCTATCTATCTATCTATCTATCTATCTATCTATCTATCTATCTATCTATCTATCTATCTATCTATCTATCTATCTATCTATCTATCTATCTATCTATCTATCTATCTATCTATCTATCTATCTATCTATCTATCTATCTATCTATCTATCTATCTATCTATCTATCTATCTATCTATCTATCTATCTATCTATCTATCTATCTATCTATCTATCTATCTATCTATCTATCTATCTATCTATCTATCTATCTATCTATCTATCTATCTATCTATCTATCTATCTATCTATCTATCTATCTATCTATCTATCTATCTATCTATCTATCTATCTATCTATCTATCTATCTATCTATCTATCTATCTATCTATCTATCTTATCTATCTATCTATCTATCTATCTATCTATCTATCTATCTATCTATCTATCTATCTATCTATCTATCTATCTATCTATCTATCTATCTATCTATCTATCTATCTATCTATCTATCTATCTATCTATCTATCTATCTATCTATCTATCTATCTATCTATCTATCTATCTATCTATCTATCTATCTATCTATCTATCTATCTATCTATCTATCTATCTATCTATCTATCTATCTATCTATCTATCTATCTATCTATCTATCTATCTATCCATCTGTTACAAGTCGTTCAACTTTTCGTTATAAACCTCGACAAAATACTTTGCAAACATTTCCATTATAATCGCTAACAAAGCCACATGAATAACTCCATTTATACCCTTTAAGACACCAGATTCTCTTTCACCTTCATTCATAATGCCTTCGTTATAGTATCTTTTTTATGTTCGACCTGACCTGATATTGACATACTCAAATTTATAAAAAGGATATGTAAACATGCTCAAGGGTGGTGTATTTTTTCTATGTTACAATTATTGAAGGTGTCATCATCATCAACATCTTCACTGCTGTTCATCATTGTCCTTGTATCTTGTCGACTTTGTCATCGTCATCATCAGCTACATTACAATATTGGTGGTGGTGGCTGACAGTGTATTTATGCTGACAGTGAAAATGATTTTTTTTAAAAGATACATTTTGTAAATAAGTAAATTCTATGAGAGGAACCATTTTCGTTGTTGCTTTCCAGAAAAAAGAGCATTAATTTAGCATTCAAAAAATATGTGATAATATTTGATTAGGATGCCTCGGGATTTTGTAAATATTTTAAGAAATTCGATATTAAATCAAGATGGATATGATAAATTATGCATTTTTGTGGCGAAACCGTAAACACTTTGTTAGGAGAAGTGTTTAATTTGGTTGGTACTTGGTGTCAAGATGAGTTCGAATATAAAAAGCATTCAGTGCCGTGAAATCTTCTTAAATAAATTCAAATATACTTGGAAAGGGTAAGCAAATAACGTCTGATATAGTTTGAATGGGTTTTAAGGATGCTGATTATGCAAACGGAATGGAATTTCGAATCCGACATGCTATTTTCATAATATCTAAAGCGTTCATGATCACTTCAGGAAACGATCTCCTGCCCTAGCAAATCTTACGAACGATTTGCTAGATCATTTGGAAATGTTTGATCGTAAAATAAATGCGTTATTATGTAAGTTGTTTATGGACTCCAAAAAAAAAAAAAACGTATAACATGAGCCTATAGATTTACTAGTCCTGAACCTATTCTCAAGTATATCAGTGAGATCAATACAAAAGATTTCAAATGATTCGGGGAAAAAATTTTGCAACCTACTGATATTAATTTCAAACTTTCGTAGAACGATTAGAATATTAGACGTTCTCAGAAGCAGCATCTGATAGAAATTCGTATAAGATTCTGGAAGAACGATTGATATGAAGTGCTAAGATGTCTAGGTGCTTAACGTGAACACCTGCCTTGACTGCCTTATTTTACGGTGGTCTTTTTCATCCACTGGGTAGACTTAGGACGGTCTACCAAGCGCCTCTGAACGCTGCTATGAAGAACTCAGGTGGCAATTTTAGTAGAAGGCTGTGCCGGTCCATGTACAAGCACTGTGCTAAAGTACTCGAGCTATCTAATCTCTTGCCATAGTTGCGGAAAGACAGGCAGCATGGGATCAATCCCAATGCAAACCCCGAAAAGGAAAAAGCAATCTAACATTAGTTGAAATCAATCTTCCGTATACCGGAAGTATATTACCGTTTTGATGTCATGAAAGTTTGCATTATTTAAAATGCAATCCCCTTCAACTAATGACCTATTCCAGTGCATTCCTTAACCTTTTAAAGCCCGTCCAACCACACTACTGAGATGGTCCTGTTGATTCGGCAACAGTACCTAGAGACGTATTTAGTAGTCCTAAATATCCATCAAATAAATCAGGATCCGTCTGTATGTCAGATAATGTGACAAAAGATGTAGGAATTTCCAAAGTCAATTCAAACAAACCCAGTAAAAACTTTCATTACCATGTAAGGGGTTAAAATGCTAAAATTTACTTACACAATAGCATTTTAAGTCATTATTTTAACACGGTGATGTCATTGGAGGCAAGTACTTACCACAAACGATTACAAGTAATTAGAAAAAGTAGTCATTGTAAATCGCATGAAAAAACGTATACAGCTTCTATATCTTTACTGGCAAGATGACTAATGAATTAGAAAGTATTTATATAATACATTATTAGTAAGACCTTATTAGACCACTTCTATGTAATCCAGGCGATATGTAGTAGTCATTGAAAAGTATGTTGTTAGGTAAGTAATTACAATTGAAAGCTATTACCCAGTTTTTGCTGGGAAATAATTGTGCAGACAAGTTGAGTGGCAGGTCTCAACTATAAGTCGCGTAGCATGAAACAATATGCATCCTGTTGAGATGGCAACAGCACCGAGAACTTCCCTGAAGTAAAAGGTCTTCTAAATCAGTACTAGTCTCCTGTCGGGCAGAGGAGACTTTTCCGACCGTTCACCAACTTATATCAGTTCCATTCTCAGATCATAAAGAACAACAGCACCGGAGAGAGAATCCAGACTTTCATATATGGGATATATCAGTTCTTAAACCAACATTGTCTCCCCGCGAATTTGGGTTTAAACATTTGATCATCACCAGTTTATAGTCCCGGCAGACTAGTGGTATTGGTAGCACCTCTTTTCCCCGGGATATTGCAATAACACAAAGATGGAGCTTTCACCAATGTAACATGCACCCGGAGGGTGTTATAAGGTGCTGAAAAATCTTGTCTGACACTTTCAGGTCCTAGTAAGCACTCGTAGATAGTAGAGCAGTAAGCTCTGATCAATCAGTAGACGATGGCCCATTGAAGTATAAATGCTTTCCTTGATGAATTGCTTGCAATCTCTGTTAAACGACTATAAAATGCCACGAAATTTAACCTTTTCAAATATTCGCGTGAAAATTGTCAAACAATAATAACAAATATGTCATCGTAAGCATTTGTTCATGACACTTTTTCAAAATTGCAATCTTTGACATTTTTAAAACAATTTGCCAAACAAAATTTTTAGTAAACCAGGTATATTGGCTTTCGAAATGCCGCAAAGGAAGTAATTAATAGAACAATTAAACTTTAATTAAAACTAAAAATAGTTGACATTATAACAAAAACAAAAAAGAGAGGCAAACAAAACCAAATAAAGTTCTTTAACCTTTTGCCTGATGACAACAATTGTCGCGTGTGAAAATGTTGCTGATAGAAA